GCAAATTTGAATTTCATAGAATAAATACTTTTTAGTATAAATATATCCCATGTAATATTTAGGACATATTTGTACAAAACTTATTTTTCATTTCTCTTAAATTCAGATTTAACCGGACATCTTGTATTTTATTAGATATCTAAACTCAAGGTGAATTTTAATTGTCTATAGACCGGAAGAAAATTTTAATTGTCAATATATTATAGTAATCTAATTATGAGGTGATATAAACATGAAGGAAAGGAGGCCAATATAGAGGAATGCTCTGAAGGACAAATCCATGTGTACAATGGAAGAAGAATCAAAATGTGGTGATTGCTTACTTTTGAAGGGGCTGATGAACAATGTTGTTGAAAGAAATCCTGGGTGTCTTGAAAAGAAGTTTTAGGTTATGTGTTACACAGCAAAAGTCATTACAAAAGACTAAGGACACAAACTCAGGGACTTAGGTTCAGTTTTTGGGAGCAAGCAGGTTACATAAAATAATCAGACTAGAGAATAACTTGAGTCTTGAATGTCAAATAAGGCTTAGGGGATTAAATACACCTTAAATGTTATTTTAGGCCATTACACAGAAATCACAAGGGCAGCTAGTTTGCTATTGAATATCTAACAACCAGAGATACTGTACTAAAGAGAGAATGTTAGTCTTTTGACATTATATCATCATACTCCTATATAAGTAAAAAATATTTCTTGTATTTAACACTTCAGTTAAGATAATTGTATAATCAAGCATGATCATTTACAATGAAAACTAAAATTGCAAAATGTTATACACATACTCTGTTCTGGAAACAGTGAAAAGTTATGAACACTTAATGCCTATTTTATGATGTCACAAAATATTTGAAGTATAAAGGATAATTTCATTTCCCATTGGGTTATGAGTTTCCACTTCCCTCAGGAGATGATTCCTCAAAGAGTAGATGACAACTAGTGGTTAAATTAGGAAATACAAGTTAGATTTATAGAACCCGTTTTAACGTGAAATCTTATTTTCTCTTCCAGCCAGAATGCCTATTAGCTATTTTGATTTATTTAATTTTAGTTGGATTTCAAAAACTAATAAGTCATTTTTCATATTGCAAGGTGAATACTTAATCAGATACCTCTTGCAAGATTCTGATGCTGAGAGTTAGAATACAGTGTAAGAAAAGCATTTTAAATGTAAAGAGAGTGTTGTAGAGCATATACAACAAGAAAAAAAGCAGGGTTACTGTGGGAACCATAATCCTGAATTTCATGACTTGTCTTGTGTGATTACAAATTTAACGCTGTAGGAAGGATTGTGTAACTTTTTCCTTTATTTTGAGGATGAGTTATTTGTGAATAATCAGGAAAGGGTAAGACTTTGATGTGACCTGAATTTGTGCAAACAGAGTGGATGCTACATCTTTTAGGAAGGTAAAAGTAAAAGTAAAAGTAAAACAAAACAAAACAAAACAAAACAATATGGGAAGGCAGTCTCTTCAAAGTACTTGAGTTCAGCACACTGCAAGTTTTCACTGTAGAAAAATACAGAAAACAAGTTTACACATCAATTTTATTTGCAGCTGAGGATTTCCAGAAGGATTTGAAATGGGCACAGAAACTGTGCCATGTTTCTTGATACTCCAAGGGGTAGTTGTGACAATGAATGAATTCCAGGGCATAGCATGCAGCTGGCAACAGAAAGCAAGGGAAACTGGAGGAATTTACTTTTGCTTGGATTTAACTGAATCACATCTTGAAACAGTGAAGTATGAGTACAGTTTTCTAAGAAATTACAGCAGCACACAGGCAAAGTGTGTGGTAGTCAATATATGAGTTACCTTTTATTAGGAAAGATCTGGAGTCAAATATGTGAATGAGGCTGCCTCTGTACACAGAAATGTGTCAAACTGATTATGCATCAGCCTGCTATGTATGTCTACAAATCATGCAATTTAATGGAAAGGAAAGGATGCAATCAATTAATAAGCTGTTTTTACTATGGTACGGATCACACAGATTTCTCTAAAGAGTTGAGTTCTTGACACATTTTATATTGATTATCTTGTTTTTCTTTGGATATTGCCAGAGGCCATAAATTTTGAGACTATTCCAATTTTGGCAATAGACATTCCAAATAACATTTTCTGTGTTCAGTGGGTACTAAACAATTGATATGGCACTAAAGACCCATGCATACATGCACATGAAAGTTTGGATCATATTTAGGTCAGGGTCCATTTGCGTCCCTTTGGAGAAAAATTTAATATAGGTGGTGCTGCCTAAACAAATTTAGCTGAACTTAATACATTGATTATTAGTATTTGTGCTAATACCTATAATAACATGAATATCCTCTGGTTTCATTGTATTTTTAGCCTGAGATGTAATATTACTGAAGTTAATCAGTATAAGCACCAGAGGCCTAGAAATGCAGCATGTACTCTACAGAAAAAGAGTTATTGCTATAGATGATAAATAGGGAAGAAAATAGTGACTGGAATACAGTTTTAGAATAAAAAAGGTATAAATGAATGAATGAAATGAGTGAATAAAATTTGCACTTCAAGTCATGGAATACCAAGCATATCACCAGAAAAATAATTTGGTTATTGGAGGGATAAAACTATTAAAAGTTTGAAAGAATGCTTAACATCAGTATAAAGAAGCACACAATAATGAAGGAATTAAAATGTAGAATGTCAGTCAAAAACAATCACTCTAGTCTTTCATGAGGAAGTAGTGAGAAAACTAATCATCTTGGTTTTGATCAATTTATGATAAAAGTGGTTTATTCTAGAGTGGGAGACAAAGGAAGCTGAGTTTTAAGTTTTCATTGACTACATATAGATTGAAATGAATAAGAAATGAAAGAAACAAAGGATTGTAAGGTCTAGGCACAACAAAATTAAAAACAGTTTGAGTGTAATATCTTTTGCATAAATAGATTATACTAACAATGAAATTCTAAAAGTATTTGAATGTAAAAGATAGGATGCTAGAGCTTCGGAATTTGATAAATATTTAACATAATACAGTAGTTTCTTTGCCTGAGTGCTTGCTGCTTTTTATCACCAGTTTCTCATGAAATGCCTTACCTTGTAGCGGAAAGCAGTGTTTTAATAAGATAAGCCATGAGTATTTATATAATTGAAACAAAAAAGATTGAGTTCTATTTCATCAAATTGCTATAAACCAGGAACTCTGCAAAATGAAAAAGGTAAGGGAAAAAGAATTCTCAAAATCAGAATGACATAGAAATAAATGCAATGTCAAAATTGATCAAAGGGGAAGAGTTGCTTTTAAACGTAAGTTTGGATGAAAATGATACGAAGAGACACAAGTAAAAGGAAGATCACAGTGAAACTGAGTCATCTATAGATGAAGGAAAGAAAAGGATTTATATTAACAATGAGCATTGATGTCCAGTTAGTTAAAGTTGTATCAGAAATTCCCAGAATATCCTTATTTGCAGTGTGTTTTAGGACTTAAGTATAATACACAGACTATCTCTACCTGCACAAAGGGGATTTTTATAGCTTATTTCTAATTTAGAAAAAAATCAATTTGGCACCTTTGGCTTATGAAACTACACTTTCTATGGAAGCTCTAGTGGATTTTAGACATTCCTATTCACATTTGTTAACGAAACAAAACAAAAGGAAAAAAAACCTTTTCAGATAATATGTAAATTTGTTCTGAGTTTTGGGGCCCAAATCAAAAATTCTACAACATATTCCTAAACTAAAAGGACCTTTTGTTTTATCTATAAACTAGTGTTGCAAAGAATACGAAGGTCAGAATGACACACACATGCCTATACTTACTTTTTCACTTTTATTGTTTTGATTTTTTTAAAAAAATTCAATAGTGTCTGAGGTACAGGTGGTTTTTGTTTACATGGATAAATTCTTTAGTGGTGATTTCTGAGATTTTAATACTTCCATTGCCCCAGCAATACACACTGCACCCAATATGTAGTCTTTTATCCCTCACCCACTCCCAGCCTTCCTCTGAGTCCCTAGAGTCCATTACATCTTTCTTATGCCTTTGCATCCTCATAGCCTAGCTCCTACTTATAAGTGAGAGCATACAATATTTGGTTTTCCATTCCTGAGTTACTTCACTTAGGATAATTATTTCCAGGTCCATCCAGGTTGCTGTGAATGCCATCATTTCATTTGTTTTTATGGCTGAGTAGTAGTCTATGGCATATACATACAACATTTTCTTCATATACATACCCACTCATTGGTTGACGGGCACTGGCATTGGATACATATCTTTGCAATTGCAAATTGTGTTGCTATAAACATGTATATGCATGTGTCTTATTCATGTAATGACTTATTTTCCTTTGGATAGATAGCCAGTAGTGGGATTGCTGGATTGAATGGTAGTTCAACTTTTGTTCTTTAAGGAATCTCCATACTGTTTTCCATAATGGTTGTATGAATTTACATTCCCACCAGCAGTGTGAAAGTGTTCCCTTTTCCCCACATCCATGCAAACCTTTATTGTTTTATCACTTCTTAATAATAGGCATTCTTGTAGGAGTAAGGTAGTATCTCATTGTGGTTTTAATTTGCATTACTGATTACTGATGTTGAGAAGTTTTTCTTATGTTTGTTGGCTGTTTGTATATCTTCTTTTGAGAAATGTCTATTCATGTCCTTTGTCCACTTTCTGATGGAATTATTTGCTTTTTCTTGCTAATTTGTTTGAGTTCTCGTAGATTCTGGATACTAGGCCTTTGTTGCATGTATAATTTGGAGATATGTTTTTCCACTCTGTAGGTTTTCTGTTTAATTGGCTCATTATTTCTTTTGCTGTGCAGAAGTTTTTGGTTTAATTAGGTCTCATTTATTTATTTATTTTTGTTTTTATTGCATTTGCTTACTGGGCCTTAGTCATGAATTCTTTGCCTAAGTCAATGTCCAGAAGAGTTTTCCTAGGTTTTGTTATAGAATGGTTATAGTTTCAGGTCTTAGATTTAATTCTTTGATCCATCTTGAGTTGATTTCAGTATAAGGTGAGAGATGGGGATTGAGTTTTATTCTTCTACATGTAGCCTGCTGCTTTTCTGAGCATGATTTATTGAATAAGGTGTCCGTTCCCCAATTTATGGTTTTGTATGCTTTGTCAAAGAGCAATTGGCTGTAAATATTTAGCTTCATTTCTGGATTCCCTATTCTGCTAAACTGGCCTACATGCCTATTTTTATATAACAGTACTATGCTCTTTTGATAAGTATAGCCTTATAGTATAATTTGAAGTCAGGTAATGTGACACATGCAGATTTGTATTTTGCTTAGTATTGCTTTCAGTGTGTGGGCTTTTGTTCCATATGAATTTTGGGATTTTTTTTTCTATTTCTGTGATGTGTAATAATGGTATGTTGAAGGGAATTGCATTGAATTTTTAGATTGCTTTGGGCCATATGGTTTTTGTTCACAATATTGATTCTTTCTGTCCTTGACATGGGATGTGTTTCCATGTGTTTTTGTCATCTATGATTTCTGTCAGCAGTGTTTTGTAGTTAACCCTGTAGAGATCATTTACCTCCTTGATTAAGCATGTTCCTAATTATTTTCTTTTACTTTTTTGGAGATGTTTTAAAAGGGATTATTTTCTTGATATCATTCTTAGTTTGGTCATTATTGGTGTATTGCAGTGATACCAATTTTTTACATTGATTTTGTATCTGAAACTTTACTGAACTTGTTCATTAGATCTAGGAGCTGTTTTGGATGAGACCTTACGGTTTTTTAGGTATACAATCATATTGGCAAAGAAATAGTTTGACTTCCACTTTCCAATTTGGATGCCCTTTATTTCTTTCTCTTGTCTGATTGCTCTGGCTAGGAAATGCAGCAATGTGTTGAATAGGAGTGGCTAAAGTGGGCATCCTTGTTTTGTTCATTTTTAGGGGGAATGCTTTCAGTTTTACCTCATTCACTATGATGTTGTCTATGGGTTTGTAATACATAACTTTTAAAAAATTATTCTTATACTTTAAGTTCTGGGATGCATGTGCAGAACATGCAGGTTTGTTACATAGGTATACATGTCCCATGGTGGTTTGCTGCAACCATCAACCTATTATGTACATTAGGTATTTCTCCTAATGCTATTCCTCCCCTAGTCCCCAACCCCCAACAGGCCCCAGTGTGTGATGTTCCCTTCCCTGTGTCCATGTGCTCCAATTGTTCAACTCCCATTTACAAGTGAGAATATGCAGTGTTTGGTTTTCTGTTCCTGTGTTAGTTTGCTGAGAATGATGGTTTCCTAGGCAGTACCATTCAGGACATAGGCATGAGCAAATAATTCATGTCTAAAACACCAAAAGCAATAGCAACAAAAGCCAAAATTGACAAATGGGATCTAATTAAACTAAAGAGCTTCTGCACAGCAAAAGAAACTATCATCGGAGTGACCAGGCAACCTACAGAATGGGAAATAACCTACAGAATAGGGCAACCTACAGAATGGGCAGGCTACAGAATGGGAGATAGTTTTTGCAATCTGTCCATCTGATAAAGGGCTAATATCCAGAATCTACATGGAACTTAATCAAATTTATAAGAAAAAAACAACCCCATCAAAAAGTGGGAGAAGGATATGAACATACACTTCTCAAAAGAAGACATTTATGTGGGCAACAAACATATGAAAAAAAGCTAATCATCACTGGTAATTAAAGAAATGCAAATCAAAACCACAGTGAGATACCATCTCACACCAGTTAGAATGCTGATTATTAAAAAGTCAGGAAACAGCAGATGCTGAATAGGATGTGGAGAAATAGGAACGCTTTTACACTGTTGGTAGGAGTGTAAATTAGTTCAGCCATTATAGAAGATGGTGTGATGGTGATTTCTCAAGGACCTAGAACCAGAAATAACGTTTGACCTAGCAATCCCATTACTTGGTATATACCCAAAGGATTATAAATCATTCTAAAGACACCTGCACATGTATGTTTACTGCAGTGCTATTCACAATAGCAAAGACTTGGAACCAACCCTGTTGCCCATTAGTGATAGACTGGATAAAGAAAATGTGGCACGTATACACCATGGAATACTATGTAGCCATAAAAAAGGATGAGTTCATGTCCTTTGCAGGGACATGGATGAAGCTGGAAACCATCATTCTCAGCAAACTAATATATGGCATTTATTATTTTGAGGTAAGTCAATTCTATGCTTATTTTGTTGAGGGTTTTTTTTTAATCATAAAGCGATGCTGGATTTTGTCAAATGATTTTTTTGCGTAGATTGAGATGATCAAATGATTTTTGTTTGTAAGTCTGTTTTCGTGATGTATCACATTTATTGACTTGCATATGTTAAACCATCCCTGCATCCCAGGGATGAAACCTACTTGATCATGATGTATTATCTTTTTCATGTGCCATTTCATTTGATTAGCTAGTATTTTTTGAGGATTTTTTCATTTATGTTCATCAGGGATATTGGTCTGTAGTTTTTTTTTATTATGTCCTTTTTTGGTTGATACTGGTTTCATAGAATGATTTAGGGAGGATTCCCTCTGTATCTTTTGGAATAGTGTCAATAGAATTGGTACCAATTCTTTGAATGTCTGATAGAATTCACCTGTGAATTTGTCTGTCTGGACTTTTGTTTTTGTTGGTAACTTTTTAATTACCATTTCAATCTCACTGTTATTGGTCAGTTTAGGGTTTCTATTGCATCTTGATTTAATCTAGGAGGGCTGTATATTTCCAGGAATGTATCCATTTCCTCTAGATTTTCTAGTTTGTGCATATAAAGGTGTTCACAGTGGCCTTTAATGATCTTTTGTATTTCTGTGGTCTCAGTTATAATGTATCTGGTCTCGTTTGTAATTGAGCTGTTTTAGATCTCTCTTCTTTTCTTGGTTAATCTCATTAATTGTCTGTCAATTTTGTTCATCTTTTGAAAGAACCAGCTTTCTGTTTCATTTATCTTTTGTATTTTTTTCTTTCAATTTCATTTAGTTCTTCTGTGATCTTTGTTATTTTTTTCTACTGGCTTCATTTCTTTTTATTTCTCTAGTTCCTTGACGTGTGACATCATGTTGTCAATTTTTGCTCTTTCAGATTTTTTTTGATGTAGACATTTAAGGCTATGAACTTTCCTCTTAGCACTGCTTCTGTTGTATCCCAGAGGTTTTGGTAAGTTATGTCACTATAATCATTCATTTTAAAGAATTTTTAAATGTCTATATTGATTTTCTTATTAGCCCCCAAATCATTCAAAAGTACATTATTTAGTTTTCATGTATTTGTATAGTTTGAGGTTTCCTTTTGGAGTTGATTTCCAGTTTTATTTCACTGTGGACTGAGAAGATACTTGATATGATTTTGATTTTCTTAAATTTATTTAAACTTGTTTTGTGGCCTGTTATATGGTCTATCTTGGAGAATGTTCCATGGGCTGATGAGAAGAATGTATATTCTGCAGTTGTGGAGACAAATATTCTGTAAATATTTGTTCTAGGGTATAGTTTAAGCCCATTTTTTCCTTTTTTGACTGTTGACTTTCTGTCTTGATGTTTTATCTAGTGCTGTCCGTAGAGATCTCATTTCTTAAATCTAGTAGTAATTATTTCATAAATTTGTGAGCTCCAATGTTAAGTGCATATAAATTTAGGATTGCAGTATCTTCTTTTTGGACTGATTCTTTTATCATTATATAATGCTCTTACTTGTCTTTTTTTTTTTTTTTTTTTTTTTTTACTGTTGTTGCTTTAAATTCTGTTTTGTCTGTTATAACAATAGGTACTCCTGCTTGCTTTTGCTTTTCATTTGCTTGAAGTATCTTTTTTTATCCCTTTACCTTAAGTTTATATGAGTTCTTATGTGTTATGGTTCTCTTTTTTTTTTTAATCCATTCTGTCATCTTATATCTTTTAAATGGAGCATTTAGGCCATTTACATTCAACATTATTATTGCGATGTGAAGTACTGTTCTAGCCATCATGTTAGTTGTTACCTAGATACTTTTTCACATTGTATTATTGTTTTACAGGCTCTGTGAGATTTATGCTTCAACGAGGTTCTATCTGGATGCATATCCCTATATTTATTTATTTTTTAAATGCAATAGTTTTTACAAGCAATTTAACATTATACTGTACTTACACCAGACTCATCAAGCTGTATGCATTAAATATGTACTGCTATTTATATTTTAATCATACCTCACTAAAATGATTTTTGAATAAAATTAAAATAATAAAAAAGAATAATACCTGGCACAGAGTAGATATCAATAAATATTCACTGAATAAAAGGGAATTTTAACTAATTTTAATTAAATAATGATAAGCTATCTTTTAAACTCAGTACATTAGCCTTATTTATGATTTATGAGTTTGGGGTATGTTAATTTAGATTTAACATAATGTATAATGATCTTAGAATAAACCGTAAAAATGAAGTCAAGAAAGATTTCTTTCACTTCTGTAAACCATTTCTTCAACTATTTCTGCTTTATGAATCATCTTGGATGTTACACTGATATAAGATTAGAAAACTAGAACTTTTCATAAGGTGTGTTTGAAATAATATATTCCAAGAAGCACTTTGATTTAATCTTAAATATAAACAGCAATGAGGTCATATTTTCTATCTAAAAAAGTTATCTGCCCATAAATGCCTAGATATTCCCTTCACCCAACTCATCCAAGACAGACTTGTATCAAAATCTCCCTCTATTGTAGAGTATCAAGATATCTGTTCCCAAACTGTATATCCATATTCAGAAGAATAAACAAAATTCAAATCAAAATGGATGAAAGACTTAAATCCTAGACCTCAAAATATGAAACTACTACTAGAAAATATTGGGGAAACTCTCCAGGACATTGGTCTAGGCAAAGATTTCTTGAGCAATAAGCACAGGTAACCAAAGCAAAAACGGACAAATGGCATCATAGCAAGTTAAAAATCTTCTGCACAACAAAGGAACCAATCAACAAAGTGAAGAGACAACCCAATGAATAACAGAAAATATTTGCAAGCTAACAGTTGACAAGAGATTATTAACCAGAATATATAAAAGAGTTAAAACAACTCTTTAGGACAAAAAAAAAGAAAAAAAAAACCTAATAATCTTATTAAAAATTGGGTAACGATTTCAATAGACATTTATCAAAAGAAGACATACAAGTGGCAAACAGACATTTGAAAAGGTGCTCAACATCACGGATCATCAGAGAAATGCAAATCAAAACAAAAATGTTATATTATCTTACCTCAGTTAAAAATGGCTTTTATCCAAAAAACAGGCAATAAGAAATGCTGACGAGGATGTGGAGAAAAGGGAATGCTCATACACTGTTAATGGGACTGTAAATTATTAATAGTACAACCACTATGAAAAACAGTTTCTCATTTCCTAAAAGAAATGAGAAATAGAGATACTATTTGATCCAGCAATATACCTCCTAGGTATATATCCAAAAGAAAGAAAATCAGTATGTTAATGGGATAACTCTCTTCCCTATGTTTATTGCAGCACTATTCACAGTAGCCAAGATTTAGAAGTGACCTTGGTGTTCATCAACAGACAAATGGATAAAGAAAATGTACATATACACAATGGAGTGCTATTCAACCATAAAAAAGAATGAGATCTTGTCATTTGCAACATCAGTGATAGAACTGGAGGTCATCATGTTAAGTGAAATAAGCAAGGCAAAGAAAGACAAACATTGCACATTCTTACTTATTTGTGGGAGCTACAAATTAAAACAGTCTCTTTGGACAGAGAGTGTTAAGATGGTTACCAGAGGCTGGGAAGGGTAGTTGTCGGTGGGGTGGGGGAAGTGTGAGTGGACAGGGCCAATGGTTAATGAGCATACAATATAGGAATAATAAATAAGACCTAGTATTTGCTAGCACAACAGGGTGACTACAGTAAAAACTAGTGTTCTTTTTCATCTTAAAAAATCTTACGCCAGTTAGAATGGCAATCATTAAAAATTCTGTAGACAGCAGATGCTGGAGAGGATGTGGAGAAAAAGGAACACTCTTACACAGTTGGTGGGAATGTAAATTAGTTCAACCATTGTGGAAGACAGTGTGGTGATTTCTCAAGGATCTAGAAATAGAAATTCCATTTGACCCAACAATTCCATTCTAGGTATATGTCCAAAGGATTATAAAACATTCAGTTATAAAGACACATGCACATGTATGTTCATTGCAGCCCTGTGTACAATAGCAAAGAAAGACCTGGAACCAACCCAAATGCTCATCAATGACAGACTGGACAAAGAAAATGTGGCACATATACACCATGGAATACTACACAGCCATAAAAAACGATGAGTTTGTGTCCTTTGTAGGGACTTGGATGAATCTGGAAACCATCATTCTCAGCAAACTGACACAAGAACAGAAAACCAAGCACTACTTGCTCTCACTCACAGGTGGGCGTTGAACAATGAGAACACACGGACTTAGGGAGGGGAGCATCACACACTGGGGGCAGTTGGGGGGGGTGACTAGGGGATGGACAGCGGGGGATGGGAAGGGTTTGGAGGGATAACATGGGGAGAAATGCCAGATATATTATGTACCTATGCAACAACCCTGCATGACCTACACATGTACCCCAGAACCTAAAGTAAAAACAAAACAAAACAAAACTTAATGAGTATAATTGTATTGTTTGAAACAAAAAGGATAGATGCTTGAGGTGATTGATACCTGTTTACCCTGATGTGATTATTATGTATTGCATGCCTGTGTCAAAATACCTTATACACCCAAAAATCCCATGCTCGGAGAGTTCTAGACCTCTTTAGTTATCACTTTTCCCCCTTAATTTGCCCTGTTTCCATCTGATAAGCTCCATTTCTATTCTGAATATTTGATAGTATCCTTTTTATTAACTTTTTTTGAATATCTCATTATCTAGTTTATGGATGATCTGTTCTTTGTTAACATTCCTCTTCTTGGATGAAAATTTTTTGGCATTTTACCCCTTTTAAAGTTGCTAAATTTTATCTTTAGCATTTATTTAATTCTCAAAAAGATATGAGATAAAAATAAGTACAAATCAGTGTATTATTTACATACTGACCCCCAAGATAGGATACTCCTATATAGGCCATAGTATTTCCTTCTGTTGACAGTGATAAATCATAAGTAAGGCTAATGTACTGAGTTTTAAAGATAACTTATAATTATTTAATTAGAACTCATTAAAATTACTTTTTTATTCAATGAATATTTATTGATATGTACTCTGTGCCAGGCATTCCTTTTTATTATTTTATTTTATTGTTAAAAATTGTTTTATTGAGGTATGATTAAAATATGAACAGCAGTACATATTTAATGCATACAGCTTGGTGAGTCTGGGGTAAGTATATACCTGTAAAACCATCATCACTATTGAGACCATAAACACATCCATCACCTCCCAGTGATTTTTCCTGCCCCCTTATTATTATTAATTTTGTAGTAAGATCTTACTTAATATCTACTCTCTTAGCAAATTTCAAGTACACAGCACAATATTTTTAGCTATAGGCACTATGCTGCATAGTGGACCTATAGAACTTGTTTATCATGCATAATTGAAACTTTCTCTCCTTTGAACATCTCCTCCCTATTTCTCTCTTTCCCCAGCCCCTGGCAAGCACAATTTTACTCTCTGCTTCTATGAGTTTGACAATTTTAGATTTAATATATAAGTGAGATTGTAGCTATCTTTCTGTGTTTGGAATATTTTACTAATCATAATGGCCCCCAGCTTCATACGTGTTGTCACAAACGGCAGGATCTCAATTTTTTATTTTTATTTTTTGACACAGGGTCTCACTCTGTCACCCAGGCTAGAGTCCAGTGATGTAATCACAGTTCACTGCAACCTCAACCTCCAGGCTTAATCAACCCTCCCAGCTTAGCATCTGGAGTAGTTGGGATGACAAGCACACACCACCAGGCCTCGCTAATTTCTATTTTTCATAGAGATGAAGGCTTGCTATGTTTCCCAGGTTGGTCTCAAAGTCCTGGGATCAAGCAATCCTCCTACCTTGGCTTCTCAACGTGCTAGAATTATAGGCATGAGCCACCACACACAGTCTAGGATTTCATTTCTTAAGGCTAAGTAATATTCTGTCTTATCTATATCTCTGTCTCTCTCACATTTCATTTATTAATGCATCAGTAGACACCTGGTTTGTTTTCATAGCTTTTCTATAGTGAATAATCCTACAATAAACAAGGGAGTACAGATATTTCAAGATACTGATTTCAATTTCTTTGTATATATGCCCAGCTGAGGGATTTCTCAGTCATATCATAGTTTTATTTTTAATTTTTTGAAGAACCTTCATACCATTCTCCATAATGGTTGTACCAGTTTACATTCTTACTAACA